ACAACTGTACCCACAGCACCTCCACCTAACAACTCAGGTGTAGTAAACTCGTTCCAGGTTGTGTGGTGTTCCATTGAGCTATGTTCTCATAGAGACATCCACCATTCAATAACACGATTGGAAGCAGAACTCGTTCGCTTTTCTGTATAATCAAACAGACTGGCAATAGTTCCCCCTGTGCCTGCATTTCGACACATAGTTTCGGCAGATCTTCTCGTCCGTGAACACCACTTGAATACCACACTTAAGACCACCTCGACGTCAGCAAAACTTTGTGGCACCAGCAGTTTGAAAGCAGCGCTAGTAGGATTCGTGCCGTAGTTATTTGGTAGTTTGTTTTTAATTAATGATTGGATTAGAAAGGAGAGATTCCAGACGATGATAATGGTGGTAGTGATGACTTGTCTATTCAACAAATCCTATGGAGTAGTGGATATCGAAGGCTAGGTGGATGCAGATGAACTCGCTGTGAATCGCGTTGATTCACACTCGCTAATCCGATCACTCCAGCCTCCGACACAGGATTCCCCTCTTCGCAGCATGTCGCCAGCCGCGCGGATCCTCAACTCCCCCCTCCCTACCACGAACATTCATTCTGGATTACCCTTACGCCTAGGTCTCGATGTTAGTGCATCTATGACTCACACATCTGAGGTATAAATACACACGCGCAAGCCCCACACACGAAACAACGACACCAACGTGGTTGAGCTCTGAAGTATACGTTTGTGTCCACGTCCTCTCCGGTCTTCTTCTTCATCGCGGGTAGTAGGAAAACGTAATCGGGCCAGAGTTAATTCAGTGGCCCCGGCGTGGTTCAAGACCACATGCTGGGGCCCACAACAATTTGTTTCGTGATGGCCGTTGACCAATTACTCTATTGCAGCTACCTCAGCGTACTGCATGCACTTTTCATCATATCTGACTGCAGTAAAGGCCAGCGCCTTGACAACATGCCCCATAATGAACCCAGACTGGTTGGTTTATGGCGCTCCCACTGCCACGTAGGTCGAGGGCATAATTTAACTCGGCATGTCGGTGGACGCTGTTCCAGCTGGCATTTGTTGCGTCCTGGGACTGCAGCTGCCTTTGAAACATGGAATTCAGACGTCGAGGATTTATGGCCTTGCACGCGGATCGTTTACTTGGAAACAACGATAAATTAAATCACCATCTGTGCACATCCGATAGGTGCAAACTTTTCCGGATTGTTATCTAGTGTGTTAAGCGTAGTCCCGACAAGATTACCAAGTTCAAAAGGAGGAACTACACAGCTTGAAAGCGGGGCATTTAGTTTCCTGTTAACACACACACACACACGCGCGTTCACACATCAACACCAGATTTACGCCTAGTTATCCAAATTGACTGGCTTCCGGTGTGTCAAATGAGGTTGCCATGGCAACGTTTCCTGTGGCTTTTTTTGCCTGGCATGAAGGCCAAACAGGCAGGAAACGAAGTTTCCACGCCATTAGTCAGTTCCACCGCCTACTGCTAGGGTGCCCCGGATGCACAGACGATTAGACCACTGGCACAGCCATCACCACTTCAAAGGGGTTGGACGTCTGTCGGACGTCCAGTTGTGATGGTCTTCAACTAAACGCGGTTCCGGTGGAGCGAATTCAGCGTTAAAGCAGTGCTGGAATAACTGGCAGGGAAGTGTGCTGTCTCTAGGTGCTTAAATCTGTATAAAATTCAGTTGATTTGTCTACTTGGAAAGCAAATTGGGCTTAATTTTATGCGTAGACGGTAGTCGTGAGTCAATTACAGCAGTACCTAGTTCTAAAGCATCATATTTTGACAAACTTTACAGTCTTATGCTTGTTTGAACTCACGAAAAGTGCTGATGTTCGATCGCCAACTGATCAAGGTAAGTTGGGAAGAAGTCAAGTGAAAACGACCAGAATTGGTCCATCGGAGAGGAGTCATGTTCTTCTATGACACTGCAAGGCCTTACAGCCATCGATGGTAACTCGTAGCAAATCATCGCATTTAATTGGTTGAGACAGAATAAGGTAACCAGCCCCACATGATTACAACGAAATTGGAAATCGATAAAGGATTACGCAAAAATGATTTCTTGCCAAAAATAAATGCTGTTTTATGGTGAATACCAGATTTTAGTTTGGCTAACGACGCCGATCGTCTCTGTGCTCACAGGTAAGTAAATTACTCATCACAGCGAACATCGCATCTGTGGTGAAGGTGTGTTGGATAGATAGATCTCTATCGAATCCAGACAAAAACGTTTTGGACGAAAATTCCTTTTGAGCGAGCAAAGCCTCAAGTCGGTGATTCTTGGTGTGCGCCTACCAGATGAAATTTGTCGAAGGAACTCGAACCGTAGTCCTGCCACCATTAACAGGGCGTCCCTTTCATTCCAATCTTCTCCCAAGAAGACGATCGGGTGATGCAGTTGGTGGATTTAGGGTTCCGTGGGATGATCTTGCTTCTACATGCCTTTCAAGATGTTGGCATGGCA